AATGCTTGGCACAGCCTTGTGGGGCTGCAGGCATGGTACCTATTGTGTCCATTCTGCTGATGGGCAATTGCAAGGCCTTGGCATCTGCTCTTTTCTCCAAAGAGGAAGGGGTAAGGTGGCCATGGCCCTATGGGGGGACCCTGGGTGTTCCTTTCAGCATCAGAGCCTATGATAGGCTAGTGTCAGCCAGCCTCCTCCGAGGGCGGGGCTGTGGTAACTGCACCTTCAGCCTTTAAATGGCATTTACTGCCAACACCCACGGATGCAATTAGAGCTTTGGATTACCCTCAGCCCTGCTGTCTTGCTTTCAGGCTTCTCCCTGCACCTCCATCTCTCTAGTCAAAACAGCGAGCTCCCAAGAAGGAAAAAGTGTTGGTAGCAGCTTGAAACGTAGTAGGTGGATGTTTTCCTCTCCGAACTGTTGTGTGTATACCTTAGGTCATTCAAAACATCCCACGTAAGCCCGCTTCCGCCACCCTCTGTGCTGGCTCACCCTAGGTGCTGATAGGTAGTCACTGAGGGTCGGGCAGGGGGAGGCCTGCACAACGGCTCTCTGCTGTGGCTTCTGACCAGCTGCTACCCTCCTTCCATGCCCAGTTCTCTCAGCATGTACCCCAGCCAGCACTGCAGGGAGTCCGCCCATCCTGCCTCCAGACTCTGTCTTGAATCCATCCCCTCCTCTCCATCTGTATGCCTTCCAAGCCCTTTATCACAGTCAGTATTGTTTTTATTTATGTGTTGTTTACTCATTTGATCTGTCTCGTGCATGAAAATGGAAGGTCCATGATGTAAGGCATTGTTGCTGCTGTTCACATGTCCCTGCCTCCTGGGGCAGTGGGGCTCATAATGGGAACCCAGCAGGGTTTTCAATACTGCTCATCGAAGCCTTCCTCTGAGAGGGATTAATGGAGCAGAGGCCAGAGATTAGGCAGGCTTGGCGGTGATCTGGACTAGATCCCAGCAGGTGGGGCAGTGGTGTGATGGCAGGTTATTAATTCTTTGGGGACATGGTGAGTTTGGGATACATGTGGTAAGCGCATCACCTTGTTTGCCAGCAGCCAGTAGACCTCTCACTAGAGCTCACAATTAGTGTGCAGGTGAGTTACAGGCAGGAGCTGGACACGACTACTTGGTTGAGAAGGCCTGCAACATGAGGCTGACCATTATAGTAAACGGGTCTCAGCCCAGTCCTGCAGGCTTGCTCTGCCTCCTGCATGCCAGGGGGAGCGTCTCCCTGTTCCCTGCGATCCAAAGCCTGCCCCACACATATGAACAGGCTGCAGTAGGACCTGCAGGGCTCGTCCTCGGCAGTGTGCGGTCAGCGTTGAGATCAGAGGGACATTTCAGGGAGTTGGGGCTGGCTGTGTGCAGGCCACCCCATGAAGCCTGCCCTGCTCTCCTTTCTACCCCTGCCTCTCCCCACCTCACCCTCAAAGTGAGTAAAGAAACAAAGCCTCATAAAGGAGGCCAGCTCATCACTCTGTCTGCTTTGATTTTCATTTTGTTTTTCAGTTTGGGTTGCTTCCTTTTTTTTTTTTTAACATACTAATTAGATGAGAGCTTTTTTCTTTGATTTTATGGCCTACATATTTCCTAAGTTTTGCTGGCAGGATGACAGCTGATGTATCCCTTGAGGTCTCAGGAAACCGCTGATGAGGCAAGCCCGGCAGGGGACTTTTCCCAGGGTTTTCAGTCCCCTTTTCATGGTTTTCCTCCCTCCTTTTCTGTTGGGGGTGCCAAGAGCACGGGAATAATTGATGGCTCATTAAAGCCCTGCTTTCTGCAGACTGCTTACTCGGCGCTCCCGGGTCCAGCCATCCCCACACAGGCAGACAGGCCTGAAGACCACAGGCCCTTGAAGGAAGTGAGAAGGGCAGTCCCCACTGTGGGCTCCTTCCTGCCTCCATCTTTGATAGCTGGCACAGAGCAGAGCATGTTGTTCACTGCTGTGTACCAAGGTGGGCCTCCAGGCTCCTCTGGGACAGGCCAGAAATCCAACTCCAAAGGAAGGGTCCCCCACTGACCTGCTCTTAGCCACACTTCTTGGACTTGGTTGTTTTGGTTTTAGGGATTTGTTTTGCTTTATTCTTGTTTTAATTTTTGAGACAGGGTCTCCCTCTGTAGCCCAGAAAGATCTTCAACTTGTAATCCTCCTGCCTCCCGAGCAGCTGTGATTTCAGACCCCTGACAGCAGGCCAGGCTTACCCACACTTTTGCCATGTGTTACGTCTGGTCCACCAGAAGCCCTGGAGTCAGGATGCTCACTGAGCACAGGACACCAAGACTGCTCGTGTGAAGGTCGTCACCATGTCACATGTCACTCGTGCCTGTTGTGAGGCCGAAGTACTTTGGTTGTCTAGGTGCGAGGACGCGTTCATTGCATGGAGGCCTTGCTTCCTCGGCCTGGAGCTGGCAGCAGCCTAGACTGAGGGACCAGCAGGAAGCCATGGCCGTCACAGCCTCTGTACAGTGACGAGTGGTCATCTTACCAACCAGCTAAAGTGGCCAGCCGTGAGGCCCATCAGTACCAGCAACAGTTTCCTTTCTCAGAGGGTATACTCAATAAGTTCTCCTGGCCCAGCAAAATGTCCTGCTAAAGCACGTCACCCACCCCAGTGTTGTCAAGCAAGCACGGTGGACCTGAGGAACCTGCCTTGGCAGCTTCTGCTCCTGCTTGGTTGTGCGTCACTGAGGTCTTCAGTATGGAGATGCTGGCCTGCCACCCTTCCCACCTCCCTCAATCCTGAATCTGTGGCTGAGCTGTGTGCACTGGCCCAGGCCCCTGCCTGGAAAACCGCTTTCCCTCTGCCCTCCCTGCCCTCGCTCTCCCTCTCAACATAAACAGAACAGCTTGTATTCCATGTCTGTGTGGTAAACCCGCTGTCCAAAGTTTGCTTTAATATTTATGCGTTCGGCACCGCTGCCTGGGTTTGAGCTCCATCAAAGCCCGTGTCCTAAGAGCATTTCAGATGCTGTGGAAGTAGGGAAGGGAGTTGATGTCTGCTGGCTCCCTCTCTCTAGCCCACCCCTCTTCCCCTTCCCTTCCTCACCCCAGAGTGCTCCCTTCAGCTAGCATCTCTCCTCTTCACACACAGCAAAGAGAATGCTCCCCAAGACCTCTGGGAGGAATCTGTTCAATATTTATCAACTGCTGCAGCAGCTGAAGTAACAGGCAGTAGCCAGCACCAAGATCTGCTCCAACCAGAGCTCCAGAAACAAAGATGGAGGCTGGGAGCCCAGACGATGGCCCAGCTGTACTGTGAGACGTAGGGACAGTGGAGGAGCCTGGCCTGGGGCCTTGTACCTGCTTCCAGGTATGGCCAGCTCCCTGGGGACTCTGTCCAGTCCCTGCCCCTTGGCTCACATGTGTTTCTGAGAGCTACTCTGTGACCTGACAGAGGAGGGGACCCAGCCAGTCCACCCCACACACATCCTGGCCACTGGGGCCCTTTGCCACAGTGGTGCCTCCAGAGCTGCCCTTGTGGAGCAGCTTTGGGAAGTTCCAGGAGCAGTTTTCCCCGAGGTTAGGAGCAGGCAGGCAGGATATTGCTTAGGTCAGCAAATGCCACTTTGGGGACAAGCCTCCCCCCTACTTCTTTCCACTGTTTGTATTGACTCTGGGTAAATTCCAGCTCCTCATGCAGCCCATACTTAGGCAGGCCACCTCAGATCCTTCAAACCCTTGGTTGCTGCTTCTGAGCAGGACTGTTGGCCTGCCTGTGTCTGTGGTTGCAGGGTTAAATCAGCCATGTCTGTAAAACCTGCTCCCCAGTAAGTGTGACCGCTCCCAGACTGGGGCCCACGAGCCTCGCCTCGCCCTGCCACAGTCTCACTGAGAGACCTGCTAAGGTGGCTGTGGGGACAGGACATTCACCGCGTTGGCAGAGAGAGCTCAGCAAGACACAGACTTGCTTTCTGTCCTGTGCATCTGGGATGACTTGGAGAACCCATTGAAACAGTAGAGTGGTCACGCTGGGACAGCAGTGGGGGGGGGTAGTACCACCCAGAGTGCTTTGCTGATCCACAGACGACCAAGCAGGATCTGCCGCTCGCTGACCGAACCCTGAGCAGTCCTCCCCCAGTCTCTTCTGAGGTCTTCAGCAAGCCTCCCTTCCCCTCACAGCTTCTGGCAGCCACCATGTATATCCCTTCATTGGGAAGTAGGCATTGCAAAAGCAAATTCCCATCTCTGTCTTTCTGTCTTTCTGTCTCTCTGTCTGTCTGTCTGTGTGTCTCTCTCTCCTTGCTATACTAGGAATTGAATGCAGGGCCTTGCCTATGCCAGCCAAGCATTCTAACACACACACACACACACACACACACACACACACACACACACACACACACACCCCGAGTTTAAGGCAGCTGAGTGAGACCCAAACCCTGCATTTCTAGGATGCTCTCACATGTTGTCATACATACTGCTGATCTCACATATGTTTTCACACTGCAAAGCACAAACCAGAGCACAGCTTGCATACCAGCATCGCTTGCCTGTTTGTACTCCTATAACAAAATGCTTGAGACTGGATTCTTTATTATAAAGAAAGAAATCTATTCCCTTGAAGTTCTGGGGGCTGGGAAGTCCAAGACCAAAACTGGCCTTTGGCATCTCATGAGAGACAGGCCAAAAACATTCTCTGTCCCCACATGGCAGAACAGAGGGGCCTTACATGTTCCCCAGGGCCCTTGTATAAGAGTCGCATCCCATTCGTATGGGGGTTGAGAGCCACAGCATGAACTGATGAGGGGCACAGATGTTCAAGCACATTAGTGCCTGCTAGGCTTGTGTTGAGTGAAGGGTGAGGAGAGATGTACTCAGAGAAGACATGAGCCTGGAAAGGTAAGACAGCCTCAAGGACTCACGACTACAGCTGCCACAAAGAGCTGGCCCCCGGTGGCTCCTTGTTGCACACTGAGATTTGGGAGCAGTGTGGAAAGACACCGCTCGGGGAACCACACACATGGTCCAACTAACTCACCCTGTCCTTTTTCCCCAGAGTACGCAGAGAACATTGGGGACGGCCGGAGCCCTGAATTCCGAGAGACTGAGCAGAAGCGCATCCTGGGCTTGTTGGAAAACTTCTAGAACGCTGGGCAGAGTGTGTCTCGGACCCCTGGATCCCTCCTGGAAGCCGTTTTTAGACTTGTGTGGCTTGAACAAATTAAAGCTAGTTTTGGTATTCTCGGGCTGACATTCAGTGTGAAAGCCTCCCCATCAACTCTGTCCCGCTCCTCCACAGCAGGCACGGGCACACCTAAGGAAGGCCAGAGCTGGCCTCACCCTGACTCCCCTGTCATAGGGAGTGGGGAGGGTGTAGAGGATAGGGCAGCCGAATCTGGCTTGACACTAAGAGGCTGGTGGTGACAGGAGGCCCCTGGTGTCATGCATGTGGAGGAGCTGTTCGTTCATGCACAGCACCCTGAGTAGTACTCTGAGCCCAGCACTGCAGGCTCTGGGGGCTGCAGGGTACAGAGAATTGCCCTCATAGCAAGCAGTCCACCACAGCTCAGTCTACAGTGCTTCTGGCGTACTGTGAGAGGGCCAGCACTGACCTAAAACACTACAGTCAGCATTGTCTACACTTAATCTCATGTCCTGTGAGGGCATGTGGCACAGTGAGGCATTCTGAGAGAGGCCACAATCACAGCCTTTATCACATCAGAAGTCTGTTAAAATTTGCTATATAATGATTTGTTGTTGATTACTATGTTAGACTTCGTTTTAAGTGTTTAATGGTAAACAGTGCACCACACACACCCACCACACACACACACACACACACACACACACACACACACACACATATTCAGTACTAAGCACAGCCTGAGACATGTATTGGGGGTGCTGAATGTCTCCACGGGTTAGGAGGCCATGTAGTATCAGATGGCTGGGCAGTGGTGGTTCATGCCTTTAATCCCAGCACTCGGGAGGCAGAGGCAGAAGGATCTCTGATTTGAGGACAGCCTGGTCTACAGAACAAGTTCCAGGACAGCCAGGGCTACACAGAGAAACGCTATCTCAAGAAACGACCCCCCCCCCCAAGAAAAAAAAAAAATCTGGGAATGGCCCTGGTGCTGGTGTTTTAAGCTCATGAAAGGTTCTGAGCCTGAGGGGCAAGGGAGTGACAGAGGATGACCCCAACCTTACCCAATTGGATGTGTGGTTTTGACCTCTTGTGACAGACATCTCCAGAGCAGGCTGACAGTGCCCCAGTGCTCATGGGAATGAAGAGCCCATGATGACAGATGTGGTGGGCACGTTCGATGCTGACTTCCTTCCATCTTGTGTGACTGTGACTTTGGAAGTGTGGTCTCGCCTCCTGGCTGAGGTGAAACTCCTCCTCTCCTACAAACATCGCAGTTGGCCTCAGAGGAGAGTCCTCCAGTGCCGGGGTGTGTGGAGCAGCAGTGTGGAAACAGGATTTCCTTACAGCAAAGCACGAGCCCTTGGTCACCAAAGAAGCTGCAAGGAATGCCACACCCTCACACAGGCCCATGCTCCTCACTGAACCCCAGGGAGCCAGGCATCGTGTAGCCACCAAGCACACTTGATGTCAGGTAGTGTCCCCGGGGTGCCGGGTACTGGATGTATAAGCAGAGGCAGCCCTTGTGTGCCGGCCTCTGGAGGGCTGTGTGAAGATGGAGAGGGTGTGTCCCACCATGAACTGAACATCCCAGCAATGTGGGATGCAGAAGCGATTTACATGCCAGTTACTGCTTACATCACTTCTGTGGCCATCGTAGCTACACACAATACCTGCTTCCTGCTCCTATACTTTCTCACGGCAGCCCTGTTGGCCTGGCCATCCCCAGCTGTGGGAAGCCAATACTGAGGTCTGGTGGTCACACAGGGCTCGGGTCCTTTGGCCAGTGAACCACAACCCACATTCAAGCCGAGGTCTGTGATCTTGCTGCACTCCCCCAGTCTCAGAGCAGTGGCGGACTCGAGTTTGATCTGTCAGTGTGCTGTGTCTCTGTCGATGCAAGCTTTAATGAGTGCACAGAACAGAGCATGTGCATGGATGACCTGTGGAATCACCGGCTTTTCCAGCTAACGCTGAGTCTCCTCTGATCATTGCTCGTTCAATACTTCTTGTATTTTTTTTAACTTTATTGGTTTTTAACCAGAGAATACTTACACATGGTATCAGAGTTCAAAACTTAATTTTAAAACATTGCATGAAGAGCCTCCTCATTCCTGGAGCTGCTCCTGCCTCCCAGCCATCTTCCCAGCATGTGGACAGCATTGTCCATCCATTTGAGGTTCCAAAGGCCAGGCCTCTCGCCCACACGCAGGTCAGCCAACGCAGGAAGCCAGGCTCCATGCATCTCCACACACCAGCCCTCTGTCAATGGCTCTTTCTACCTGCCTGCCTGTTTATCATAAGCTGCTGAAGGTCCTGTTTGCCCCAAAGCCCCTCTGCCAAAACAAATCCAAACTTATCCCTTAGTCTCCCAAATGAACACACTTGCCTGGGCTGTGTGAGGCCCTGGGTTCAGTCCCCAGCACCCCACCCCTACACATGCACACCATGTTTCACAGGTGAGGAGTGGGCCCTTTCTGTCAGGTACCAGGGGAGAGGGAGCACAAAGCCTAATCCTCACAGAGGCAGAAGAGTGCACAGTCCCAGACACTGCCAGACCAGGGGACACACCTAACAAAGTAACTTCCGCTCCAGTCATACACCTCACTCCATAAAGCTGAGAACTATCAATGCAACACGGACCCATGTCTTTCTGCTAACTAGGAACCCCAGACTCCTGAGTCTGCTCACAGCCAACTAAGATGCTGTCTGCTTCACAGAGCAGTTTGTGCCCACCCCCTGCCCTGGAAGGTTTCCCTGGGCTCCAGTGAAAGCCACCTCTCTTGTCCTGGGGTCTGAGCTCTGCATTCTTGAGGTTCAGAGCTCTCCCTTCTTGCCCATCCTGTGTCCACAGCTGAGTGGTCCCAGAGCAGAGCACTGCAGAGAGGCAGCATTCCTTTTCCCATCCAGGTATGATCTAAGAAACCTTAGCTAGCGCCTCCTAAGGAGAAGGTCATGTCTGCCTCCTTCACCTGCTGCTTGATGGTGGGGGTCCACATGCCTGAATCTAGTGGCAGCAAGATGGGCGAGCCTAATTAAGAGAGATTTGCATACAGGCTGCATTCTTTTCCATGGGGGACCGTGGGGGAGCTGGAAGGCATCCCTCAGTCAACCAGAGTATTACCAGTGCCCAGGTGGCACCGTCTGCCATTACCACAAGCGTCAATTTAGTGTCAGCAGGGAGACGAGACTCGCTTTCCTAGAGGCAAGACTTCTTGATGAGATTTCTTACCCAGCAGCAGAGGTAAAGGCAGGCCCACATTTTCAATCTGCTCTGTTCTTTGGTGCACGTGGAAAGTGGTTGGAAGCACAGCAGTGGGCCTTAGTTATCGGTGCTGGGGAAAATGGCAAGCTTCCTCCACTCACCTTCATCTTGATTAGCTAGCACATGCCCTTGGTAGAGGCTCGTGACGGTGTATAAGGGTGCACTGTGCAGATCTCCCTGCCAGATCTGTCTCCTGGCCACACAGCCCCCTCCCTGGAAGCAGCCCCTGCTGACTAGACCAGGCACCCCCTCCAGGCCCATCCAGGTGGGCTCATCTTGTTCTGCCCCTTGCTTTCCATTTGATACCTGCCACGTGGCACACTTTGCCCACTCTAAAGGCCAAGCTTCATTGCAGAGCTGGCCCTGATGGAGCTGCCGAGTTTTAATGGGCACATTGCTTGTTGCTGATCTTTGGCTAATGTGCCAGTGTGTGAACATGCCGTGTAGGCCATCACTTCACACTTGTGTTTAAATCTAAAGGAGAGTTGCAAAGTCAAAGAGGAGAAGGCATTGTCCTTGTTACTATGTGGACATGTCCATCCACAGCATGTACTGTGTCCTCCTGCATGGGAAACAGGTGGTTCTGGGTCAATGGGGCTCTGGTGGCATTTGGCCTACAACTCTCTTGTGAGTCTCTCCATTCAGGATTTTAGAATGTCTTTGCAGGGTGTGTGGTGTATTAGCTGGTAACCTCGGTGTCTCTGGTTTCCACAAGCCACAGGCCTTCCTTAGGGAGTTCAGCTACATTCCTCCCCTAGGCCAGTGTGTTATCAGTATCCACATGTCAACCTGATCTAAAGCAGCATTGGTCTATAGGGCAGAGCTGAGAATGGAATCTAGTCAACCATGCTCCAGATCCCAGAGCCACACAATCCCTCTCCCCAATCCCCACTCCCTCCCCTGCCCTCCCAAGGAAGGGATCTGGAAAAAGAAGAAGAAAGCACTGGACACACTGGAAGCAGAGCCTTTGCTAGGGGTTCAGGAGGCCCCAGGACAGCCTCTCCCCCACCTGGCAGCTGTGGATCCCCAAGACCATGAGTGGAGGTCACTTAAGCCTTCCCATGGCCAAGCCCCATGGAAGCTGGGGGTCATGCCTAGTCTCCCAGCCAGCTCCAGGTCAAGCCTTGTCTCCACTGCCTGTGGCCCTTTCAATCCTTACAGAAAGAGAGGAACAGCCCACTGCAGCCCAGGGAGCTGAATTCTGACCCCCAGGCAAGAGCCAACCTCACAAAGTCACCGAGGCCAGGGGCTAAGAGAGAGCAGCTCCAGTCCCTGTCAGCCCAGGCTATCCCTAGCCGTCTTGGACCTGGGCAGGTGGGTAGAAGTCACTGGAACAGACTGGATAGAAGCCAGACCATGTGCCTGACCAGAGCCTCCAACCAGCCATCCAGGAGCTCAGCCCAGCAGCCTGAGCTGTGAGATACCTACCCACTATTACGGTCTCACTAAGGAACTAGTTTTGGGAATCCCCTACAGACTACTCCTCTACCCCCACATGGTACCCAGGTATCTTCACCCATCCCTCCACCTTTTGCTGAACAGCCACCAGATGCCACATGGGAACAATGCAGCTATTATACCTACCTGAGGGAGCCTTGACCTTGTAAGACAAACTGGAAGTCAGTAAACATGTGAACGATGCATAGGACAATTTCTGAGAGTCAAAAAAGCAATCAAGGTGTGCAGTGGAGGAACTGAGGAGCAGGGGGGTGATCAGGCTTAGTGGCCTGGGAAGGACTCTGTGTGATCTCGTCCCTTTAGAACCTGAGCTGAGTTCCAAATGGTGTCGAAGAGGCAGGAAGTAGAAAAACTGGAGCATAGGAGTCCAGTAGACACCAGTGCAAATGTCCTGAGGCAGAGAGAAGACAAACCACTCTCCCGAAAGCACCAGAGCCCACAGCGACTGGACTCAGGGAGAGGCAGGGGCCAATCGGGGGTCAGTCCAAAGCAGCAGGCACAGGAGGTGAGGGGTCCTGAGCTTGGAAGGGGTGAGCACTGACTTGAAAAGGATGACTCCGGGGGCTCGATGGAGGCTGCACTGTGGAGGTTGACAGGGCAAGAAGGAGCTCCAAGGGCTTGGGCCAATGAGGAGCCTCAGTATTGTGAGCCACGGGGGCCTCTGAAGATTGGGATGGGGAGGTGGAGGTAGAGCCAGCCAGGCTTTACACTCCAGGCCCTGCCCAGAGGCATCCCCAGCAATGAGGCCTGGGAGCCATTTCCTGGGCTAACAGGAGCCAGGTGGGGCTGTGGAGAGCCTGGCTCAGTGTATAAATATCTTTAATGAATAAATAGAAATGCTTTTAAGGCTGCCAAGTCCCGTCATTTCCACATGCCGTAACATTTTATTAGAAGCAGGCTCCTTCGGGGACAGCCCGGCCGTCATAAATCCACCCACCCTCCCACCCACCCACCCCCAGCCCTGCCTGGCTCCCAGGTGACGATTCTGAACCCAGGGTTCCACACATGCATACACTGCCCTGGGCCCAGGGGCGTTGGTCCTTCCCACACCTGGACAACATGATGCCACAGTAGGCAGGGACGTGTGTCTTGTTGCTGACAATCCCCCCCCACTCCCCAAACCAGAGCCCTGCAGACTTCCTCTCTGATGTACTTAAGCTGAGTTCAGGGACAGCTGCTTTTAGACAACGGCGTCCCTGGAACCCCGGAGCTAAGGAAGCCCCACCTTGGGGCGTCTAGCTTTCCAAGTGAGGAAATAGAGCCCCATAAGAACAGGTGGCTATGCTAAGGTCATGCCAGATAAGCAGACCCAGCACTCAAGCTACCATACGATTGCTGCACTCTAATACCAGCTAAATGTTCTCTGGGCCAAGCCGAGCACCATTTCCCTGATTCATGACTAACCCATTTTGCAGATGCAAACACTGAGGCCCAGCAGTGGTGAGCTAGCTGCACACCTGGGTCTCTAGGTAGCCTTTTTCCTCGTTCTCAGGTGTTGGAGTTGGGGCGGGGGGGGAGTGTTCTTTGGCCCAGCTGTGGAACTGGGAGGCTGAGACAATCTGACACCCTGTAGCCCAGGCTAGCCTCCAAGTCACAGCAGATCTCCTGCCTCAGCCTCTCCAGTGCTGGTATTACAAGTGTGAGTCACCATGCCCAGCTTTAAACTGGGAGACTCTGAAAAGACTGGGGTGGAAGAATTCCCTGAGTGACAGCAAGCACCAGCTGAAAGTCTGTGAACTGCAGGCCACCGACCAAAGCACATCTTGGAACCCAGCGATGCCTTCCAAGGATTCCCTCCCCAGCTTTACTGAACAGAGAAGTCAAGGATTCACACAAGGTCACACAGCTCTCCTTGTAATACAGGCTGGGAACCCTATGGGCTCTCTGTTGACCCCACTGCCAGAGGCTGTAGGGTCAGAAAGCCTAGCCAAGTGAGCAGGCCCCACTGGCTGGCAGCCTGCCTGGACATCCAGTCATCAGTGAAGCCCATTAAGGGGCCATCCACAGCCCAGCCAGCTGTCTTCCTCCGTGCCTCACCTCAGCCCTCCGGGAGCCAGAGGACAGGCTCCTGGCCTAGCACTGCGGGAGACAGTCTGTCAGGAACTGCAGGAGACTGAAAGATGTCCGGAGCAGGTGTCACCCAAAGGACTCAACACAGGGTCTGTACGTGGCCACCTGGGCAGTGACCACACACAGCACAGAGCCTACGCTGGCCAGCCCTGCCGCTCCCCAGCTGAGTGAGTCCTTTTGCCTCCTGAGCCTCAGTTTCCTCCTCGGTGTTCTGCAGAAATGTCTGCTCAGTGTGCTCACTGAGGCAGTGAACTGCCATGCTTGGAACAGACAGAGCCACGCACAGTGCTGAGCCGTCCGCCTCACCAATTCCCGTGTGCTGTTTCCTGGTCACCTTCCTCTCCAGACGGAGCCAGCACCTCTCTTTATACTGTCTAGAAGGACTGACCACACCCACAATGTCTGTCTGTCCACCCATCAATCAACCCCCAGTCAGGGTCCTGCAAAAGCAGTGTTTAAGCCTGCACATACCCAAGCTCAGTACCCAGGATCGCAGGCCTCCGTCCACACCTCTGACCTGTCCCGCACCACTGCCCCCAGCTTGTTCTGGACTCTCTACAGCCTCTCCACCCCCTTAGCAGAGGCGTAGCCAGAAGCTAGCACACCTACCCTAGGGCAGTAAGCTCGGACTCCCAACCCTCCACACTGCCCTCAGGAGAGGCCATCAGCCAACTTTACTGGGCCAGTGGGCTGTGGAAGGCAGGGTGGCCTGGCAGGGTCTTCAGCAAAGCATGTCTGGGCCTCGCTGTAAGAGGCTGTGGGAGAAAGGCTCCACCAGGCACATGGGCATGCTCCTGCTGCCTCCCTAGAAAGGGGTGCTTAAGAATAAGCAAGCAAGGCGGCTGGGGTGCTACGGAGAAGGAAGAAGAGTAACTCAAGGGAAGGGCATTACAGCTGTGAATTATCAGAGAAGGCCCAGGGGAGGGTGTCAGAGCTGAGACTGAAATAATGGGAATAACGGGAGGATGGGAGGATGGGAGTATCCTGGCCAAGGAAGCAGTAAGCGCAAAGGCCCTGTGGCAGCGTGCACTTCACACACTCAATAGACCAATGTAGTGTGATTGAGAATGAGAGGTGGATGCAGAGGTGAGGGGCCAGGCTGGAGGGACTTTGCTGGCCAGGAAGGAGCTGGATCACCTCCAGCCTGCAAAGGGAGCTCATTGGAGACTATTAAATGAGGGCGAAATGACCACAGAGGGTTAGTGTGGGGGGCAAGCACAAGCCAGGGAGGAAGAAGAGAGACTGAATGCCACTGTGGTTAGGGCAGGGCCACTGTGCCACACTCATCCTCTGTGTCCCTCTGGCTTTGTCTCTAATGACCCCTAAAGTAGTCAGAGCAATAAACACAAAAACACCTGAACTTGGGACACAGAGGTTCTTGGAACAGCCAGTTATGGTGGGGCAGTCCCTGCTCTTCCCTGAACTGGGGCTGAAGGGCAGGCATAGTGTCTCGGATTTGAGGACAGCATGGGCTTATTGAGGGATGCGGGGGCTGGGGGTGGTACCCAGGGCAGGGTTCGGAGAGGGCCCTCTCTGAGCTGTGCCCTTTTAGACCTAGTTGTCTGTCTTTCTAGATGAGAAGTTAAGGCTCAGGGAAGAGGCTAGCTGGTACTCCCCTGCTCCAAGTGAGGCCCAAGACTAGAACTCTGAGCCTGAGCAGCTAACAGAATATGTCCTGGCATTCTGTTTCCTGGGAGATTATAACAGTGAGTACAGAAATGCGGGTGGTGGGCAGTGGTCCTTCCTTCCCGGGCATCAGGATGGGCTTCTTGGAGGAGGAAACACTGACTCAGCCATGAAGGGCTGTAATAGCTGATTGGAGACCATTCAGAACCAGGCTGATTGGCACAAAGGAAGCCATGAGAAGGCCAGACAGCAGGGCCCACTCCAGAGCACAGAGCCCAGGGCAGTGGACAGGAAGGATAAGAGGATGAAAAGACACCTAGGAGGGGGGTGGAAGCTGGCTGCCACTCAGGAAAGCCAGTATGAAAGTCCCTCCATGGTGGTGACTTGCAAAGGGGCGGTGACCTCAGGACAAACAGGCCACACTGAGGGCTGCGTAGAGCCAGAGGGCTGCATGCAATCAGAACATCTGTGAATGTGGCCCAGCACATCTGTAGATCACACCATGTCACAGTGTCCATCCAGTCCTCCCTCTGAAAGGAGTACACGAAACCTACCCCAAATCTCAGGGTTCCTCCTCTTCAAAGCCCCAGACTTCACTGGGTCCTGGAGCTAGCACCTTCTTTGTGACTCCCCAGGGTCAAATTCCACCTGTGTTCCGGAGAACAGAGGCACCATGATCCTTCCCACATGCCCCTGAAAGACTGAGTGACTGATGTGTCCCTGGAGACATAAGCTGGCCTTCATCTGTGTCTCCTGCCGTCCATCCGTCTATCTACTCATCCTTCCCCTCAACACTGTTTCTCCCAGGCCAACCCCTTGCTGTGTGGAGACCCAGGAATGACTGGACTGTCCCTGAGCTGATAATAGGGGAGGCCATTGCGACAAAGGTGATTATGAGTCAGGGCAACAAGAACACGTGTTGGAAAGATGAAGTTGGGGGGGAGGGAGAAGAGGGGAGGACCCACTGCTGCCCAGCTCCTCAGGATAGTCACCCTCCAATGTCATCATCCCAAACAAAGGACAGTAGTACACTATTAGTGTTATTAATTAGCATTAATCTAATTAAATGGCAATTACAATTTAGAACATGGTGATAAAAATGCCACCTTGGATTTAAGCGCCTCTGCCTCCAGCACCAGAGTGAGTGATGCCCTAGCTCACTGCATCGTGCTGCACACAGTAGGTGCTCAGCCCACTGGGTATCCAAAGCCACAGCTCTGAGATAGTGAAGTGCAGCCTCTTGTTCTGCAGATGGGCACACAGGGGCCTGGGAGGGGAAATGGTGGGGCTCCAGGTCACCTGAGAGTCTGACAGATTGAAACCAAGATTCCCAATCCCAGACGCCTCCAAGCTCCCTTCATCCCTAATGACTTCTATTTCTTTTCTGGGGAAAAAAAGCAGCCATCAGGAAGAGCCATGCTGTCCCCGATTAAACACAGCAAACGATCAGAACCGAGGTGGTGTGGCCCGGACGCCTGGTTACACAGGTCGACGGAATGAGAACAGAGCAGGAAGACAGAAATATGATCAAACAGTGTTGAGACAGTATCAGCTCCTCCCAGCACTAATCCCCTCCAGAGATGTGGTCTGGAGACCTCTGGGAAGAAGGGCCTTCTGGTCCCCAAATAAGACCCTGCTCTCCCTAACATAGGGACCCTCAGCAGCCAGCCAGGCTCCAAGAACCCATGGAGAAGTCACAGACCTGACTGTGGCCATCTGGGGGAGCACAAGGTTGGCCTTGCAAAGCTTTCCAAGACCCCCATGGTAGACAGGTGTCATTGAGGATGGCAGCTAGGTGGTCAGAGCTGGGCAGGAGTGGACACAGCTGGCCACATGCTCTGGGGCGACTCAGTGTGGGCAGGCTCTCTCTGGCCTGGCACTCAGGGCTCTTCCGGGAAGTTCGGTTCTTCTTAACGGTGCCCTGGCCAGAGGCTGGCTCTGCTGGCGTGTCCACCATGAGGTTCTGTGGTCACACGTGGGCAGGCAGCAAGCAGGGAAGGGCAGAGCCCCTGCTGATCATGTTCCCCTGTCCCCACAGTGGCTGTACCAAGGTGGACACAGCTGGATAAGTGACTTAAGGTTTAAATGACCACAAGTGTGAGGTGCAAACCTGGACTCTGGGAGACAGTGTCTAGCGTAACAAGTGGCACTGT